GGCCCCCCTTGTCGAAGAGGCAAACAAGGGTGCATCCCCAGGTTAGCAGCGCCATCAACAGCAGCCAGCAGCAGCAGCAGCAGCTCCTCCTGCTGCGGCTGTTGCTGCAGCAGCAGCTGCTGCCGCGGCCCCACAGCCGGCAACGCAAACACGGTGCGAGACTTCATCAGTAAAAAGTAGAGTGCACCGATGCCTATTGTTGTTGCTGCTGCTGCAGCTGCTGTTGCTGCTGCTGTTATTGCTGGCTGGTGCTGCTGCTGCACTCAAATGCTGCGGGTGCTTGTGCTGCTGCTGCTGCGGGTGCTGGTGTTATTGCTGTTGCTGCTGCTGCTGCTGCTGCTGCTGCTGCTGCTGCTGCTGCTGCTTCCTGCACTTCTAGGAAGTACTCCGGTGCCTGCCTCGGTGGGTAAACCCACATTGTCTTTTTCGATTGTCTATAGACATCTTCGCGAAGCTTCTTGTGCTGTTGTTGCTGCTGCTGCTGCTGCTGTTGCTGCTGCTGATGCTGATGCTGCCGGCGTTGCTGCTACTGCTGCTGCTGTTGCTGCTGCAGGGACAGCAGCAGTGCCCCTCCAGCTGCAAAGCTACGAGACCAATGAAAGATCTATTTAAGTATAAAGAAAAAAAAGCTTGCTTTGAGGGTGCAACGGCGTGTCGCAGCAGCAGCAGCAGCAGCTGCTGCTGCTGCTGCAGCAACTGTTAAGGCTGTAGGGAAGTGTGCAGAACTGCGTACACACACACAATCTGCTAGTAGCAGCAGCAACTGGAGCAGGAAAGTAAAGGTCTTCTTGAAGGCGCTTCTGTCTCCATCGAGGAAGAAGGGGCAGCTGGATTTGCTGCTGCTGCTGCTGCTGCTGCTGCTGCTGCTGCTGGGGTTGCTGCTGCGGAGAAGGGAGTCCCCGCTCTTCGTATTGGAGTTGCCGTAGCTTGTTCTTTGGGTGTTTCTGCTGCTGTTGCTGCTGCTGCTGCAGTTGATGCTGCTGCTGCTGCTGCTAATAGGACCCCACAGCAGCAGCAAGACACTGCTGCTGCAGCCGTCAGCAGCAGACCGGAGGAGGACGAGACGGGTGCTGCTGCTTTGCTGCTTCTAGAAGAGACACATCAGCCGCCACTCCTTAGAACCGATATTATATAAAGTAGAGGCAAACATATATTCAGTTTCAAGAACAAAAAGCAGTAAGGAACAGCAGCAGCAGCAACAGCAGCAGCAGCAAGAGCTCCAGCTGCAGCAGCAGCTCCAGCAGCAACGGTGCTGCTCACAGAGACAGGCTTCGATGCCTGTGGTCTGGGGGTATGTGCATCTGCTGAGACCTGCTTCTTCTTTATTAAATAAATATTTATTTTTATTTGTTTATTTTAGTTTTTTATTTATTAATTTAATTAAATAAAAACAATAACTTTGCTTCAATCCAGAGACAGCAGAAGCAGCGCCCCTCCTACTCCCGCTGCTGTTGTACACTGGAATGACCACTGTGCAGCTGCAGCAGCAGCGCAGCAGCAGCAGCAGCAGTTAACAACAGCAGCAGCAGCAAATCACACTATTATCAGTCGCAGCAGCATCATAACAGTTGTTTTTTTACTGTAGGATAAGCGGCTTTTGCGGTGGTCTCTGCTGCAGCAACAGAAACCGCAGCATCATCGATGCTGCTGCTGCTGCTGCAGCAGCAGCAGCAGCAGCACCGACCTCCAGAATGCAGTTAACACAGCGTCTCTGTAGATAACAGGTCTCTCTGTGTCTCTTCTTTGTGCTTCAATTAAAGAAGGAAGGAGTATCCCTTTGCTGCAACTCCTTTATTTAATTAAGCAGCAGCATTTGTTGCTGCTGCACCATCTGCTGTTGCTGCTGCTGCTGCTGCTGCTGCTGACCTGGCGCTGGGGGTGGTGTCTTAGTTGGGCAGTGTGTGTTATAATTAATTTTATCTTAGAGTTTTATTTATTTTAGTTTGATTTATTTTGTTTTATTTATATTTATATGTATATTTTTCTTATTGTCTGTCTTTGCTGCTACACATACCTCGCACCATATATCATGGGCTGCAGCAGCAGCAACTGCAGCAGCAGCTGCAGCAGCAACTGTAGCAAGAGAACAAATGTAACAATTCGACAATAATTACTCTGCAGTCTTTTGACCCGCGTTGCTGCTGCCGCAGCATAAGCAGTGAGCGTGTTGCTGCTGTTGCTGCTGCAGCAACAGCAGCAGCAACAGCTATTGCTGCACCGGCAGCAAAGCATTTTGCTTATTGCTGCTGCAGCAGCAGAGCATTTGGCTTGTTGCTGCTGCAGCAACAAGTTGCGACGTGTTGCGAGCCACTTGCCCCCAGTGGGGCTTACCTGATAATATGCTGCTGCTGCTGTTGATGCTGCTGCTACCGTTGTTGCTGCTGCTGCTACTGGTAGTGATGCTGCAGCTGCAGCAGCAGCAGCAGAAGCAGAAGCAGGTGCTATTCTTTTGCTGCTGCAATTGCTTCATCTTGCTGTCTTTAGGTGTATATACACCTCAGCTCTCACCGATTTGTCTCGTGATAATGCATGAGGATCCACTGAAGGATTTGATTGCTGCAGCAGACAAAAGGAGACAAATAAATAAATAAATAAATAAATAAATAAATAAATAAATAAAATAAAATAAAATAAAATAAAATGAAGATAGAAATATAAAGAGACATATTAATAAACAAACAGAAGGAGAGAGATAAACAGATAAAAAATAATAATAAAGACAAACAGTAAAGACAGCAGACATAAAGAGACACATTAATAAGCAGACAAAAGGAGACAGATAAATAAGGAGACAATAAATAGTAAGACAAAGAAATAGAGGGGTAAACATATATAAATATATATATATATATATGTATATATATATAAACATATATATGTATATATATATGTATATATATATATATATGTAAAGACAAAGAAAGTTAGACAGAGAATAAAGAGATAAAAAGATAAAGAGATAAAGCGAGATGCAGAAAGAGACAAACAAAGACAGAGAAATGAGGAGACAGATAAAAGAAAAGATAAAGAAGAGGCGGACAAGAAAGAAAGAGAGACAAATGAATAAAGAGACAGAGAGATAAAGAGACAACCAAATAAAGAGATAAGTAAATAGACAAGGAGAGACAAATGAATAAAGAGACAGAGAGATAAAGAGACAAATGAATAAAGAGACACAGAGATAAGGAGACAACCAAATAAAGAGATAAGTAAATAGACAAAGAGAGACAGAGACAAAGAGACAAAGGGATAGAGACAAACAAATAAAGAGATGGAGACAAAAAGAGATAAGCAGCCAACGAAATAAATTAAAAAGATAAGGAGACAAAGAGACTGACGAAAGGATATAAAAGTATAAACAAATAAAGAGAGAAAGAGACAATATTTATTTATTTATATTTAAATAAATAAATAATCAGGAGACACGCTAGGCCCCCAACAAAAAACCCTAAACCCTAAACCCTAAACCCTAAACCCTAAACCCTAACCCCCCAAGCCTAAACCGTAAACCCTAAACCCTAAACCCTAACCCCCGCAACCCTAAACCCTAAACCCTAAACCACCGCAACCCTAAACCCTAACCCTCCAAGCCTAAACCCTAGACCCTAAACCCTAAACCCTAGAGCGTCGAGACGTACACAGAGAGCTCTGGGTGCATGCGCTTCATTTTATTTAAACTCTGCACCCAACAGTCAGCCCGTGAAGGCTCCACCAGAACTAAACGGTGGCTGTGCCTGAGGAGGAGACAGAAGAAGAAAGAAAGGAGACAGATAAAGAAAGAGAAGTATAAATAGAGACAGATACAAATAGAGACAAATAGAAAAGAAGAAGAGATGTAATAACTGAAAGGAGACAGATAAATCAAGAGACAAACTAATAAACAGATATATAAACACAGACAGATACAAGAAAACAATAAGAGATGTAAGAAAAGAAAGGAGACACAAGAAAGGAGACAGACAAATGAAGAGACAGACAAATAAAGAGACAGGCAAATAAAGAAGAGACAGACAAATAGCAAAGACATAAATAGAGACAGAGACATAATAATAGAAAGGAGACAGACGTATAAGGAGACAGATATAAAAAGAGATAAAGAAAGAGAAGAAGAAGAGATATAATAATGAAAAGGAGACAGATTGATTTTCTTACGAGTGTGTGGAGTAAAATCTCGGGGATTTTGCTGCTGCTGCTGCTGCTGCTGCTGCTGCTGCTGCTGTTGTTGCTGTTGCTGCTGCAGCTTGTTTACACTCTCCACAGACATCAAACATCTGTAAATTTTCGCTGCAGTCTATACACCTGAACCGCTTCCCGACGATCGGTAGTCGGCCGCAAATACAGCAGATTACACCGTAGTGAACGAACAAATCCACATCCCTGCAGACTCTGCCTTCTAACAAACTCTCGTACTCCCCCTGTACATATACATATAAATATAAATATAAATATAAATATAAATATAAATATAAATATAAATATAAATATAAATATAAATATCAATATCAATATCAATATCAATATCAATATCAATATCAATTAGTATCAAGAAATATCAAGAAATATACACATATATAGATATATAAAGAAATATCTACATATATATACTTTATATATATATATATGTACATATATATGTATGTACATATATATATATATATATATATATATATATGTATGGATGTATGTACTAATGCAAGGCAGGCAGTGCTTATAAATGCATCAATTAATTAATTAATTATACTAGATAATTAATTAATTAATTAATTATATACATACGTGCATGCATGCACATATGCATATATATTTATATATATACACGCATATAGATATATATTTACATACGTATGTATGTTTATATAATACATCATACATCATATATATATATATATATAAAGATAAACAAATATACAGAAAAGCAGTTATACAGAAAGAGACATTTGTTATAATCCCTAGAAGCAAACAAACAAAGAAAGAAAAGAAAGTTTGCTTAGGAGAGCAGCAAGTAAGTGCAGCAAGCAAAGACAGAGGGGGCAGCAGCATAGCACATATTGAATGAAGAAACGAAGAGCTGCTGTCTACTCTAATCAATCATTAGCAGCACTGCAAGATAAGAAGATAACAGAGACAATGCATGCAAGCAGCACTGCTGCTGCGCTGCTGCTGTGCTGCTGCTGCGGTGCTGCTGCGCTGCAGCAGCAAAAAAAAGCAGCAAATTACCTCCGTTTGTTCTTCTTCTGTATCAACAGGCGCCTCCTGTGTATCCTGAGCATCAAGCGCAGCAGTAGCAGCAACTGCAGCAGCAGAAGCAGCAGAAGCAGCAGCAGAAGCAGCAGCAGAAGCAGCAGCAGAAGCAGCTCTCTCGCTAGCCCAGTTTGCTTCCTCAGAAGCACTTCTAGCGGCGTCAACAGCGAGCGACGAATCTGCTGCTGAAATCTGCTGCTGCTGCTGCTGCTGCTGCCGCTGCTGCTGCTGCTGCTGCTGCTGCAGGCTGTATCTTGGTGTGAATGTCTCTAAGAACGGCAGCTCTGCTGCACGTGCATCATATGCTTCTCCTAGCTGCTGTCCCCATGTATCAGTTATAATATCTGTCTCCTCAGGGGGCTCATCTCCTAAATGTCTCCTTAGAGGCGGAGGTAAAGGCCTTCGCCGCCAAACCGGGTTGACAGCTACTGTTCCTTCATCTATGTCTGCTAGATCTTCTTCTTCATCAGCATTGCCTTCTGCTGCTGCTGCTGCTGCTATTGATGCTGCTAATGCTCCTGTTGCTGCTTCTCCTCGTCCTTCTGCTTCTGTTGATGCTTCTGCTTCTGCTGCTGCTGCTGCTGCTGCTGCGGGTGCAGCAACAGAAGCGATAGCATTGACACGCTCCCAGGCTTCTCTAGCTTTTAATGCTGCAGCAGCAACACGTACTGCTACGCTGAGGTGTATCGGGAGCAATGGTGCTGCATCTTCTTGAAGCAGCAGCAGCAAACTTTTGCTGCTGAGAGGTAAATCGTCTGTTGCTGCACCTGGCGGCCCCCGCGTGATAAGATAATGAGGAGGGCTTCTTAATTTTTTATCTCTTTCAAAGCTTAATAGTTCTGCCTGTCTCCTTGCTGCAGCAGCAGGGTACTTGCGGTGTATATACAGATATATTACCCTGCAGACAGGAGGTAAAGAGCTAAAGGGCGAGCGACAGAGAGGACAGAGAGAGTCTTCATAGATGTTCATCAAGCGATACGTACACCAGAAACAAAACAAATGCCCTGCAGCAACAACAGCAGCAGCAGCAAAAGCAGCAAAAGCAGCAGCAGCAGCAACAGCAGCAACAGTAGGTAGACAGCAGCAGCAAAAGCAACAGCAAAAGAAGCAACAAAGGAAGGAAAAGCAGCAAAAGAAGCAGCAGCAAATGCAACAGCAGCAAAAGCAACAGCACAAGCAGCAGCAAAAGCAGCAGCACAAGCCGCAACACAAGAAAAGAAGATGTAGCTCTAATGTCAAGTCTAACTGCTGCTGCAGCAGCAAACAAACAACACCAATCCAGCAGCAATAGCAGCAGCAATAACAATTGCATGCACCTCTAGCACCACCTCAGACTGCTGCTGCTGCTGCTGCTGCTGCTGCTGATTCAGCAGGTAACACTGCCATCCCCATCCAACCGTAAACACATCTATTCATAAGAAAAGACAGCAGCAGCAGCAGCAGCAGGAGCAGCAGCAGGAGCAGCAACGTACCGCACGGCAGCAACACAGGCTTCTGCAGCAAGTCGCAGCAGACGCAGCAGATAAGCTCGCGGTGTATATCATCTATAGAGTCGTTTCCTTCATCAGCACCTGCTGCTGCTGCAGCTCCACGGGGTGCTGAGAAAGAGTCAGGTGCTGCAGCAGCATCAGCAGCAAACGGCAAGCCTGCTGCTGCACGATATGTCGCTGGAGGGGAGGCCTCGAACGGGCTTGCCGCTGCTGTTGCTGCTGCTGTTGCTGTTGCTGCTGTTGCTGCTGCTGAGTCTCCAGAGGCTGTTGTTGCTGCTGTTCTGCCCCCTAGGTGTGCTGCTGTTGCTGCAGCCAGAGCTGCAGCAGGATCTGCTGCTGCTGCTTCTAGTGTATCTGCAGCTAACTGCAGCACCAGAGACGCTCCTGCTGCAGCAACATACTCTGCTCCTTCTTCCTCGGGGGCCCCCGGGGGGCCCCCTGACTGTACCTGACCCATCAGCAGGAGTTGAAGCAGCACCAGCAGCAGCGCGGTGCAGCAGAAGCAGCGCGAGAATCTGCATGCAAAACCCTAAACCCTAAACCCTAAACCCTTGGCCCTAAACCCTAAACCCTTGGGCCTAAACCCTCAGCATGTTTGCTGCACAGGGCGAAGGAGATAAGAAGGGGGTGAAGCAGCAGATTAGGAGACAGACAGACAAACGCAAGAAACAAGGGCTCGGACTGTACTGCAGCAGCAGCAGCAGCAGCAGCAACAGCAGCAGCAGCAGCAGCAGCAGCCTTTGAGGCTCATTAAAGTGTGTCTCCGCAGCAGCAAGCCAACAGAACCTGCAGGTACCTCTGAGCGGAGAAGAAGGGCTGCACAAGAAATGCCGGCAGCAAGCAGCAGCAGCAGCAGCAGCAGCAGCAACAGCAGAGGAAGGAGCAGCAGCAGCAGGAGTTACTGCAGCAGGAGGTGCTGCAGCAGGCTGCCTTCTTACATGCGTTGCTGCTTCTTCTTTTATTGAATAGATTCCTGTTAATGCAAGGCCTCGCTGCTAGCAGCAAGGAACAGACGGGGGGAGAGCCAGCGCAGCAGCAGCAGCTGTTGCTGCTGCTGCTGCTGCTGCTGTTGCACAAAGAGAAGAAAAATATATTGCTTCAACGACGTTTCAAATAGGAAAGATCTTTTACTGCAGCAAGAGAGGCAGCAGCAGCAGCAGCAACAACAGCAGCAGCTCTTGCCGGGCCCCTCAGCGGCGGAACCTTCGGGCCTTGCTGCTGGTGCTGCTGCTGCTGGTGCTGCTGCTGCTGTTGCTGCTGTTTCAGCAACAGATCCCTCCGCTGCCTTAACTAACACTAGAGTATCAACGTTCAATTCAAGTGGAGCTTCCCAGCAGCAGCAGCAGTTGTAGTAGTAGTGCAGCAATAACAGAAACCCTTCTGCAGCCTCTGCCTTCTTCTTTCTTTTTAGTTTTAAGTAATATGTTTAATTTATTTGTGCTGCACACAAACTCTGTGCTTTGCTTGCGGGCCCCCCGGAGATGTCTTAGGGGGGCCCCCAGCATCGGCAGCAGCAGCAGCAGCAGCAGCAGCAACAGCAGCAGCACCTGCAGCACAGAACACCAATGACTTCCTAACTCTCCGATTCGATGAGACGCTGCTGGGGCTTCCTAACTCTCCGATTCGATGAGACGCTGCTGGGGCCCCCCAGGGGGGCCCCCCAGCCCACGTATTCTTGTTGCTGCGCCTCTGCTGCTGGGGGCCGTGCGCTGCAGCAGCAAGTAGCGTGTGCACTACCATCTGCTGCTGGGGGGCTGCATGCAGACGGGGGGCCCCGGGGGGCCCCCCTGTGGGGCCCCCCTATATGTTTTGTACACCAAAATAGCAGCAGGGCCTTTGTGAGCAGCAGCAGCAGCAGCAACAACTGCAGCAGCAGTAGCAACAACTGCAGCAGTAGTAGCACCGAAGGCTGCAGCAGCAGCAGCAACAACAGCACAAGGGACAGCAGCGCTGATAGTAGCGAAGCAGCTTCGGCGGCAGCCACCGCCCTAGAGGCCCCAAATCCGCGACAGCAGCAGCAGAAGCAGCAGCAGGAGCAGCAGCAGAAGCAGCACCAGAAGAGACACGGGTGTGAGGCGCCCGCATTCTCATCTTCTCCCTGCTACGCCCGCGTGCAGCAGCAGCAGCAGCTGTAGCAGCAGCAGTAGCAGCAGCAGTAGCAGTAGCAGCAGTAGAGATGCTGTGGAGAGCCTCTGTATCTCGAAGCAGAACTGGTTGCTGCAGCAGCCGCTGCTGCTGCTGCTGCTTCTGCTGCAGCTGCTTTTGCTGCTGCTGCTGTTTGAGATATGCATCAAGGAACTGCAGCAGGCGCCTCCCCTTGGCAGCAGCAGCAGCAGACCTCCTTCTTCTTGCTGCTGCTTCTGCTGCTTCCTCGCTACTTGCAGCAGTGCCGGGGGGCCCCCCCTCGTGCTGCAGCTG